AAACTTGAATTTTTCCAAAGACAGACATTGCAAAGCACAGCTGCACCTTTATATCAAGGACAATTATCAATATTTTTTTGAAGTTACTAGACGGTTGGCCACTCAGATTAGTCGCCATAGTCTTTGGCGGTGGTGCAGTGTTACCTTTAATGTTTTGAAGCAACGTCGTTTAAACTCTTACCCAAAGAAACACTTTTAATTATAAGACATGGGACATTTTACTTTATATCCTCCAGATTGGTCACACTACATAAAGGGCTTTCACTGTGGGACGATGCTGAATAGAAACAGTCAGCACAGGTTTTACTTTTGTTTTTAACACTAATATTTAATTAGATTTTGTTCAGTGATGTACTTTGTAATAAGTCTAAAATGGATGTTTACTGCTGTATAGCCAGATTTATGCCCCCTTTTAATTTCCATGACCTATGCAACACTAGATTATACCCACATTTCATTTCATAGACAATACATTGCTAATGTAAAGTAAGCATTTGATTAAATGTAAGACTGCCAAGTTAGTAATACTTGAGTAATTGATTTATTTTTTTTTTGTTGTTTTATTTTTAGGGGCATCTTAATAGTTTTCATTGGTCAAGTAGGTGCTAGTGTGTAAAATAAGAAAAAGTATTTTTTGCAGATATTTTTATCAATGAATTGTCTGTTTTATTAGGAATGAGTGCAAAGTCTTGATGAATGTGAAATGGGTGAATCTTCGATGGTTAAACAATCACTGGGAGAAAAAAAAAAAAAAAGGAGTCCCTCGTTTCTCTTATTTCACTTGGATCAGCTCAACACAATATAACTTGAGACAGCCATTTATAATCCCGGTAAAACCTGTCATTGTTAAACCATTCCAATTTATTTCTTTGAATGCCTAAAATATACATATTTCACAAATGATTACAATAATGGATATTGCAGAGTTATGGCCTGATTATTTGTACCCATCTTGGATTTTTATTTTTGGCCAATTAGAGCTCACTCAATGCATCCTCCCTCCTGCTATGGCATTACACACACTCGTGGCAAAATTAAACTCCAGGAAATTACAATGAAAAGATCTGTTGTTGTGGCTTGGTGACACACCAAGCGACAAGATGTGTTAGCATTTATTACACTTTGGTGACGTTCCCACAGTGGCTGAATGTTCGTATGTTATCTCAGATGAGATTCCCCTTCAAGTTAAATTTATGCTCCACTGAACTCCTACTGAATCTAAATGAAATATACATTAGGAACAACCCTCGCTGTCATCAGAGTCCATGCTCGTGAACCAAACGCAGAGCATCCAAGCATGAATTACTGTTTAAGATATATACCCTATATATATATAATTTCCCCAATTGCTAAGATGACCTACACAAATACTAACTGCAAGTTTCAGATTGCAGTGAAATCAACAAATGCAAATCTTACCATTCAAGTCATTTAGCGTTCATGACCATGAATGTGCTGCAGGGATTTGGAAAAATTATTTTTGTGTGTTTTGCTTTTTTAAGTAAACTGTACAAAAACAAAAGAAAAAGTAATTTAAATGAAAAATGTTGTACATATATTTACAAAATAAAGAACATTCATTCCTTTGAGGATAACACCGCTAAAAACAAAAGACAACGTGGACTGCTTCTGTCGATGAGGTTCAAGCTCTGCACTAACTGGATGTCTAAGCCGAGGTTAAGTTCAAGTTAATGCAGACGACGTCGACTACAGAACAGAGGAGGGTTTTTTGTCTTTGAGGGACTGTGAGGCTACCCAGAGACCAAGTGTACTCCTAAACTGGTGATACTGCTGAGACAGGACTGGAGTGTCTGTAGAACAAGGACAGTTTCCTGGAATGTACTAGAACAGACAGTCTACTACATCCGTGTGCATACATACACAAACACGTACTGCAACTTCAGTCGCTTCAAAAATAAAATGCCAATCAGGAAAGGGTGGGCAGGGACAGTCAAAGATCTGAGGAGAAGAAGAAGAAGAAGAACAAGGGGAAAAAAAAGGATGCAGAGAGGAGACATTTAAGTCCAAACTTAAAAAAAAAGAACCAATATGGACCACTTATTTCCCAGGTGTCTGTTGGCTGCGCCGGCCTGTTCTTCTCAGTTTCCTATAATACAACATGAGCCATGTCCCCACAAATTTTACTGGATTCTCACTGTTACTGCAACTCTTGACCACACAATGGGGTTTTAGGGTACTACATGTCAGAAGTGGGTGGTGATTGGCAAATGACAAAGAGTTCTGCTTTTAAAAATGACGACTTTCACGTGGACTTCTGCCTATAGTGAAGTGTCAAGTCCCCTCCGCTCTTCCAGATAAAATGTTTAACTGTTCGCAGGTCCATGTTGGGATCTAGCACCTGGACGAATCAAAAACAAAAGAAGGTTACTAACATGAAAGAGAAGTTGTGTTCAGTGCATTCACAGAGCGTGTTGATGTGCCCACCTGGTCTTGACACATTAGCTCAATCTTCTCTTCAGCTAGCATGGCCATGTCCTCCTCCTTCTCCTGCTCCCCGGGTTTATCGTTGGCCGAGGAGCTGGTGGTCTGTGACTCGTTGTCCAAGTTGATGATCTTCTCATAAACATGTTCCATGACCTTTCTCACCTGCAGCATGTCACTGGCTGACAGTCGGTCCCTGTGCGACAAAGAAGGTATAAAAACCGCCTCTAAACATTGCAGAACTGCACGTGACACGGATCTTTGCTTGCTGAAATACGAGAAATTACAAACTTACTTTTTTAGAGTTTTTGCACCAGAGGAAGAATGGGGCTGGAGGTAGAACGGGATTTTGTTGAACTTGGGCATATTTTTCTGTCATGAAAAAAAAAAAAAAGACATGTAACTCAAACGTGAGAACAAAATTTAAGTGCAAATGTCGCATCACAAAGATACAAGAAAATTGTATTGCTTCATCCAGGGAAGAACAGTGATGAATCTGTAGCACCGCTGAGCTTTTTTCTGGCTTAGAACGGGCCTGTTGGCGAGCAGTGCGGTGATTACGCAGCCAGGCACAGCTGGTCCGTGTACTTTAAAAGCAATGACTCTGTGTCACCTTGTTTGACACAAATGAGTTCTGACCGTGTGATAAAAATAACATGTATTAAACTTGAGTAAATAAATCACAAAGTGGTTGAAGAACTTTTTTAACGGTAAAGCTGCAGAGTTCCCTCTGCTTTCTCACTGCAAGGAATCTCCTGCAATCAGGTTTCACATTTGTATCATGTGATAAAGTGCGCAGTCATAGCCCTTAATGTCATACCTTAGTCCCTACTGAGTATAGAGCAATTTTTGAAAGGCAAGTAGACATTTTTAGTGCTAGTCGTTTCTAAATGCCTTAATGTTCACTCATTCACTAACAACTGAGTGTTAGTGGATCACTATTAGAGCAGGCAAGCTGTGCAAGTCTAGTCTCTTTATACAGAACAGAGTGTTTAGTTTGAAATAACAGACAGTTGGTCAGGTCACATTTGTAAACAGTAACCTGATAAATGAATAACATTTTGCTGCTTCAGGTTTTAAGGTGCTGTATATTCTGGCCACTACTGACTGAGAGAGAATCATCATAGGAGTCACAATTCTGCTTTAGTCTATAAGCAACTCAAGGAAGTACTCATTACCATCATCTGTACCAAGTATAAAACATGTTACACAAACTCAGAAGTACTGAATCTCAAATACAAACGCAGGGCTATTTTTGCCTGTTTTATGCAGCTTTTAGTTCCTTCCCACACTAAAGCCGTCCAACTAGAGTATACGTATTAACACTTTGTAGTGTTTAGCAACAAAAGCAGTCATGATTTTCTTCCTGCAAGCTTCCAAACCAGTGGGCTTCAACTACTCATGCCACATTTTTAAAAAAAATCTTCTTTTAATTTTTGAATGAAGTGTGCATGAAATATAGACACGAGCACTTGGGCTTTCTAATTTTAATAAATTATGTAGAGCGATGTAGACCAAAGTTAGACGAGCAGATGACGGATGATGCCCGGGACAAAGGGCAAATAAGGGAAAGGCTTTAAAAAGGGAGCCAGCTGCTCATTTCCAGTTCCATATTTTTATTCTTGGACTAGCTTTGCATGCTCCACAGTTCAAAAATAATGCTTATTTATCTTATACTGAGTCTCGGAGCAGCCTCTCATGTCGAACATATTTTAAATGAGCTGCTTAGGTTTCCTTCACACTCACTGTCAGACAACTGTCTGATGATTGGCTACCCTTTGCAAACAAGAAATGTAAAACATTAGGTGCTGTGCTCTGCTTGATTATATTTAGGATAGCCCCTCTCTTTCAAGTTATGACCCTATGATCAGCCACTGGTGTCACAGAGATTATTATCCACTGATTTTATTATGTGAAACTTTGACCAGGTTCACTATGATCAGCCACCAGTGGAACGCTGCATATGACAGGATAGATGAAAAGCACAACATGCACACTTTAATAAAAGATCAACGGAAAGGAGGTTTAACAAAAATAATAATCAGCAGAGATACTCACATCTACAGTTATATCAATAACCCACTGTGGGACTGTCTCATTGAGCAGCATGGATTCAGTCTCTCCGCCTGAATCTCTACATAGCAACCTGCAGCGTAAAAATAAAGCAGATCAAAAGAAACGCTGGACTTGTGCGACCATTTCTAATGACATGTGATGACATCACAATGGGAAGATTTGACTTTCTAACATGACCTTAACTGACGATCTAAAAGTTTGAAAGTTTGTTGGTGAGAGCTTACCTAAAAAGGGTTCTGCCTCCCGCTTCTCCAAAGATAACTGGTGTGTGTGGTGGCACCTGGAAATATCCGTTCCCTTTCTGGACCCTGTTCTCTTGCTCTCCGTTCACTGAGGGAACAAGAACATAATCAACAAACTCGATGAAATCTTGGCTTAGAAAGCGCTCACTGGCACAGTTTGCAGCCAATTCATGCAAACTGGGCCAAGTGGATAAAAAGACGAGGGAAACAAGACAAAGGAAAAAACATGCCCCGATGACGCTCCCCTCGGTGCAGACATTTGGCAGTTTGTGCATTCACTGGATAATTGAATCAGTCAATCAGTCTCCTCACCGTGGTTCACCTCGTTCTCTTCCTCGTCCATGGGGTTGATTCGGGTTCTGGGCCAGAACTCCAGCAGAGCCTGAAGCAATAGTCCGCCCAGGTTCACTGCAAAGGGGAGAAATCAGCGTTGTGTAATGCTAACTTAGACCTCTGGCTCTGCATTACGTAACCTTCATTAGTATAGAAAATGTAATCTCTTACACTTTGGATCCGATCCATCGGAATTTGAAAACCCTGCGTCCTTTGCAGACACCCAGGCAGCAAAGCAGTCACTCTCATCCAAAGTGATAGTGAGCATCTGTCAAGCACATAACCACGACAGGAATCAACCAGGTGAAGTTAGAACTCAGCTAGAAAACACTGAATGTCAAATCATGTGACGG